ACCCAGGCTGAGCAGGCTCTGTGCCATCATCTCCATGTTCCGGGAGAGCTGTAACGGAGGCCGGCGACGTCAGGACGACAGTGCGGTTTTTAGTTTTTTTATTATCTGGCGTAAAGGATTTCGTCGCAGATGGCAAGCGCGCACATTCCTGCCGATTCAGGGGCGAACATGAGTGGGGACACTAGCCGCGCGATCCGAGATCCTCCCCTCTCGGAACGGACTAGTTCAGCACAGACTGCTGCAGTTCCGCCGGGGAGATGACGTCCTATGTCCTCGCACTGACGCGCCCCCAATTGCATGTGTGCCGCGAGATAACTTGTCTGCCGCGGGCATATCTGAGTTTCTGGTATTACGGTACTGTATGGCGCAAAGAATCTGACCCGGCTCTATCTGACGTCGCACAGTTTAAGGGTAGTTCGTGGCATCCGTACTGCCCCATCGGACAATGCATGCTCATAGCTCCAGGAAGCAGATCAGATCAGCGGCACCTGGTGAGGTTGGGCAGTTCGTGCGAACACCGACACATGCAGGGTAAGTTCAACGGATCATGCTGGCCAAAGATCACGTTTTATTGCACTGAGTTCTTTCGAATGTGCTTATGGTTTGCGAGCAGCTCCCTCCCTCAGTCGAGAGGCTCGACGAGGAGGGAAAACCGAATGATATCTGGTAAAAAGGCCTACCGCTCCACCCAAGCTATCTAAGTGGGACATTGACCGCAATCATCTCCGGCACGGCAACGGACGCTCTAGGCCGAGGGGGGGGGGGGGTGCCGGCACACTCACCACCTTGTAGAAGAAGCAGCCGACGGGCAGCTCGTCCTCGCGGCCGGGGCAGTCGTAGGCGCCGTCGCAGATGCTGGACATGCCGACGCAGCTCCATTCGCCGCCAGTGTCCGGAGAGGGACAGAAGAACTGTTCCTCGCCGCTCGGCGAGAGCTGACATTCTGCAACGACAGGGAACGGTCACGGCCCGCGCTCAGCGCGTACACGGATTGTCTCGACCGCGCTCAGAGCGACAGGTACTGTCAAGTGCCGCGCTCAGAGCTGACACGAACTGTCACGGGCCGCGCTCAGAGCGACAGCAACTGTCACGGCCGCGCTCAGAGCGACACGAACTGTCACGGCCCGCGCTCAGAGCGAGACCAGGCGGATACACGAGCAGAGCGACGGCGGGCGGTACAAGGTCAAGACCGGGTCAATAGCTGGCAGGGAAGCTCAAGATCGGGATCAAGAGTCGCAGAGAAGTTCAAGACCGGATCGAGAGCAACAGGGAAGCTCAAGACCGGATCGAGGGCGGCGGGAAGCCTCAAAACCGGATCGAGGGCTGGGCGTGTTAGTCGAAATCAAGCTCGTGAAGGTCGGGTCACAAACGAACCAGTCCGAAACACGTGTGCCGAGTAGACTGGTGCCGCTGCTGCAGGTGCCCGGAAACTGCGCGTGAGGTGACAGCGTGCGAGACAGTCTCCTTGGTGTATGGTCAGAAGCGCACTGTATTGGAGGATGTGTCACTTGGGGATAAGGTTGAAAGTCCGGCGTAAAACCGATGCCTCGGAATCGACACGGACTGTCACGACGCTTCGGAATCGGATCACTCCAGCTTTTGGAAGGAGATGAGACACTTGCGAGATTGGTTTTGAGATAATAGGTAAAACAGGATTATCTTAAAAGCAACCGATTTCAAACACCACCAACAAGAAGCCGGTGTAGAAATGACGAATGGCTATGGAAGGCATGCATTCCATTTAATTACATTTTTCAATGGCAGTACATTTTTGGACTTGGGAGCATCACTTTATCATTTTGGCCAAATGACGCTGTGAAATAATCACAGTCATATGTTCATAGTTAAGCTAAAACAGGCAAATGCTTCATATCTGTTTATGTATATATATATATATATATATATATATATATATATATATATATATATATATGTATACATATATATATATATATATATATATATATATATATATTTACCTATATGAGATAAAAAAACAATGTTTGCTCAGAAGAAAAATATTTTCATACTGGAGTAGCGAACTATTGATTCCTTTGGACTGCTTGGTCTTAAATGTGTGCGCAAAGTTGTTTTTAATGTAGTGTATACATTTGGGCTCATCATACTATTCGTTCCCAACTATTTTAAAACGTTGCGTTGGCCAAAAATACCGTAACGCAAAAGAGTGAGACCATGTAGCACGATACAGCTTCCGACAGTCTCCGACGGTCAAGGGACATGATCCCACCTGCACATCCGCCCGCTCGCTCTGCACCACATCCTCCCTCCCCTCCCGGCCGGGCCAAGCCACCGGCGTAATCACCTCCGCCGCGCAGCCAGCGCTGGTACTCGTCGTGGGTGCGCGCCCGGTCGGCTCTTCCTGCCGCGCCGGCTGCGGCGCAGACGTCCGCTCCGTCCGCCCGGCTCGGCGGCGGCCGTCCAGCGCTCCTGAGCGCGCGGGGTGGGCGCGCCGCGGCCGCGGCTGGCTCGGCCAGCGGCCCGGTCCAGCCGGAGCCGGCCGGCGGCCGCCGTCGTCAGCAGCAGCGCCAGCACCAGCACCACCACCTGGGGCCACCTCATGGCACGGGCACGGACGGGGACCGACTGACCAGCCGCCGCCGGCCGCGCCTTATATGCCGCCGGGGATGAGCGCCAGCGGCGAGTCACGACGGCGTCGGCGCGTCGGCGTCCGCCGGTCGACAGTGGGTGGGGGCGACGGGCCGGTCGAGCAGCTGACGCCAGGCTGGGATCGGCGCTGACACCGGGTCACAGGGGGGGGGGGGATGTCGGAAGCAGGAACCTCAGCCCGCCGCCGACGGGGATAGGCGAATAGGGAAGTGGCAGGTCATGGCGGGGAAAAGAAGAGAGCATAAGAACTTACAACGCCAAGCACTGATTACTAAAGATTATTGGACAGGCGCCGGTCACTGGTGCGCAGCCAATAAATATCATACCGATAGTTCGAGCAGCGGGAAAACACACGGTAACATTCAGTGAATGGTCGGAAAAAAAATAGCAATGAAACACCTTAAATCTAAGCGGTCTTACCACGTACCTATGAAGATTAGTGAACATATGTGATATTCAATGCACGGCTCTTGTGTATAACAAGGCTTTGAACCATATCAAATACTAATTAACATAACAAACGTGCAGCGCATTTACCACGTAGCCATGTGCATAGAGAGACCCTGTAAGCATTGCAAGCCGAAACAGCCATATGCTCTTGCGTTGGACACTTGAAACATAACCGGGCGCCAAACCCCACCGCCCACCACGGCACAGCGGCCATGCTACCCACACTACGTGACGGCCGCTGGGGCGTATGCCGGCGATTTCATGGCCTCCTGCCTGAAACAGAACATGGGCTTACGCATTCCTTTAGCTGAAAATGTGGAGTACGCTATTACAGCTACGCCCATCGCCTGTGGCAGACACTATTTTGGTGACTATCGACCTCGGAAGTCAAAGTCAGAAGTCAAGCTACAATAACACAATACCGATTACCTCTCAAATGAACCAATGGAAGATAACGAAAAGTAATGTCCATTTCAGTTAGCTGGGATTTTGGTGCTATGCGCAACAGAGGTTTACTTGCCTGGTAGTAAAGCCTTACACTTAATACTATGACGGTTATCGGCTGCCGAAAGTCCTTATTGCTACAGTGATGCAAACATGCCGAAATGCTGTCTTTAACGATTGTGTTCCACCAGAATAAATCCTTTATTGTATCGTATCCCATTTTGTTGGCTCACGAAAGGTGCTGAGCTCGTTGTTCAGCCGCACAGGGTATGAGGCCCAGGGCGGTCACATTGCTTGACCCGATTGGCATGGAAAGGTCAGCTGAAAACCACCAACGCTGCTCAAACAACACCCTGGGCGGCCGTGCTGAAGCATCACGTGAAAGGTAAAGCCCTTCGCAGTCCTGTCTTGGAAAGGCCAGAGGCAAAATTTTCTGTTAAACTGGACAACCACAGCCTGGGTGGTGGTGGTGGTTTTGGGAATGCGTAACAAGCTGCGCTTTCGTGAGAAGTAAGCATGGGTGTAGGAAGAGGGGAGGGGGGGGGGGGGGCAGGGAGACCATGGCCCATCCGCTTTTCAAGGGAGGCAGGAGTGTTAACTACCCCCCCCCCCCCACACACACCACGCTTTTCAGGTTAAGGTTGTGTTTAGCCTACTTTTTGCACTACATTAACACGCGCCCGCGCGGCCGGTTGGATACCCTTCGTTCGGATGGGGGTCAATTTGACCCCCCCCAGATATCGAGAACTATAAGAGCTAGAGACACCAAATACATAGAGTATGTTTGACCTGTATGTGAACTCACTTAAGTCAAAGTTTTGAGGTTCCTAGGTCATGACCTTGTGGTCAAATAAGGTCAAACAAGGTCAGTTTCCAGGTTGGTCATCAAAGTGCCCCCAGAACTTAGATAACTGTCTGTAAACAAAAGGCAATGCTCATAAAGGTCAGTGACCTTATTTGACCTTCTGAAGGCCACGGTGACCAAAATAATACAAGACTGCTCTGAGTTTGCGTTTGAATAAGCGACAAAAGCTTACGCTAGGCAGTATGTTCCCTAAAAACCAAATGTTGACGGGGTCATTTTAAGTCGATGACCTTTTCTGACTTCATAGAGTCCATGGAAAATGTAGATATGCGGTTCCTGCTATCAATAAAATTCGAAATGAGCACCAGAAACTATCCTATACGGCAAGCCCCTGGAGCAATAAGAAGGTTGTTTTGACCTTGGTCTGACCTTCATACTGACCTTAGGTCAACGCAATTTGCTCATTCAATTGTTGTGTTGTCTAAGAACGCATTTTCGAGATGCATGGTTTCATCTAACACTCCGTTGTTGCATCAGACTGAACGATTCCCCAGAAATTGACTTCACTAAAACTATTGCCTGACCTCTATAGGTCAGCCATCCTTTAGAGGTCAGGATGCTCATAGCGGACCAAACGATCCGCTATTCAGTTGTCTACAGCTGTGCAAAATTTGGGGGCGGCTACGCCGCGCTGTTCGGAAACCATTCTGGAAAACCTTTTGGGAGGTCAATTTGATCCCCCCCCCCACACCCGAGCGCGTGTTTAACATGCATACCGATTTACCCTAGTTTACCAACATCTTCCGCAAGATGTGCCAATCTTTTTCATTTGCTCATTGGTCATCGCTTAATGTCACAGGCGCAGGGCCGAATTCCACGCGGCCTTGGAGACTGCAACGCTGGGCGTCGAGGCTGTTGCTGCTGACTTGCGAGAACGCCGCTTAAAGCTATATTGCATAGTTGTTTATCAGTAATCAGTTATATATAATATCAGTAATATCAGTTCTGACCAAATCTTGAAAATTTTAAGAGGAACATGGATTAGCCATGTTAATGCAAACCCCATTTCATCTACAATCTATGTTCGGGGAGTCCTCGCTATTTTTGAAGAACACAGAAAAAACATGGAACTGGAGTCTATGTGACAATTATTGGAACACGGTGGCGATCAGGGATGTTGTTGCATCAGTGAAGGCTCCTGTGCTGATCCAGGGCCAACTGCGCGGGACAGAAGGCCTTCCCATGTCAGAAAGGGCAACAATGTGACATAATGTACTTTCTAATGGCCTTCGGATCGACCGGGAGATCCTCTGCGTGACGCCAGAATAACAGCCAGAAGACGCTTCGCGATGGGGCAGAATGGCCTTCCAGTCCTTGATCGGAAACGGTATTGTGCCCCTGGTGTTCTAGCTCAAGGGGCCTCTTGCCGGGAAGGATGTAAGTGGTTTCATTATTATTGAGTAGAGTGGGAGTCTCATTGTTGAATGGGGTGGGTCGAAGTGAAATAAAAAAGCCAACAAGGCCATCCCATGTTTCCCTGAAAGTGCTTCTTTCTTCCAGAATGGATTAGTGAAGCAAATTTACATTAAAAGGTTTGAGCATACCCGCCTTCACCTCGAGAGGCAAGGACAGCGATGGCCTGGGTCAGCTTCCGTAAAACCGAACAGCGTCCGCCACTGCAAGTGTCACAGGGCGGCGGACGCCGTGTTAATCTGTCCAGAAGGACAAATTAATAGTTACAGAAGCAAGAAAAAAGAGACTCTTCCTGTACTTTTTCAGTTCCACCACAAGATTTTAGCAGCACTTTGCGGTGCGTACAGGGCCAATCCGTTCGTATCATCAGTCTAAAAAATCGCATGCCTGAAATATACGCCTATACTGCCTTCTCAATGCAAGATTTGATGTCCTGAGGCGTTCAAAGGCACTTCCTTCAGGAACGTCATCATTTTCCTCCACCCGTTGGCCACGGTTCATATTAGCTGCTGGACCGACGCTGCGCGGCTACAGCAGCGAGAGCAGAGACAGCAGAGACTACAGCGCACGGCGTCAAATTTCCATGACTAAGATTTTGCGAGTGCGCATGTTCAAAAATTATGTTGCATACCTCGTATCATTACTCTGTTTAAGTGCTTTAAGGTAATAATTCCAGGAACATCATCATTTTCATCCACAGTGGGCCACGGCTAAAAGTGAGCCACTGGACTAATGCTTCTCCGACTATAGAGACTGCAACGCCTGGTGTCGAGGTTTTTGTCGCCGAGATTTGCGAGCGCGCATGTTGAACAGCCACGTTACATAAGCTGTATCACTGATCAATTCTGACTGAATATCCAACATTTTCAGACAAGCATGGCTTGGCTATGTCAAAACACGTTGTTGACCACCCGATCTACAACCCCATTTCCATCTTCAAATTTCGATCAGACATGTCTATCCACAATCTACCCTTCGCGATGTCCTATATGTCTGTGGAACTCAGATACAAAATTCTGCCAAGCCTTTGCATTCCACGGGTTTGGAAAAAGTCCACTGACATGAAGGGCGCCGGTGATTTAATCCGTACAGTCGTCCAACGCCTGGTTTCAGCAGTTTATTAACTTCAAATTGCAAACAGAATTGATCTCACGGTAGCTTCTGGTTTCTTTTCTGGTTACAAGGTAAAGATCAAGATAAAACGAGGAAAACCATGTCTTTTTTTAGCAGGTAAGCTATATCCGGGGATTTTTAGGGGGGGTGGGGTTTACACATAAGGGGAGCTTTTGTCAGCCCCTATGTTTCCCCTTGGCACGACTCCTGGTCACGCCCCTGCTTACACACAAAAGCAGATCAAGTCGTCTAAGTTGAATGATGGGAAATTAAATGTCCTTTTGGCCAATTCATGTCTAAGGCAGGTAGTTTCCCGGAGTTTTTTCTGCTGGTGGTGTGGTGTAAGGGAATATATTAGAGAAAAAGATGTCCATTGCAGGTATCCATTATATGCTTTACACACCAGTTAGTAGCATGCTGGTCCAGAAATATGCAGCAAAGCTGCCATACGATCAGTTCGCAGTCAGTCATGCGGGAGACAGAGCAAGCCGGGGGCAGTGGCCGCCAGACGAGGAATATATGACTGAAATGCCTTCATTATGTGGGTTGGTTTTAAAGGAGAATCTTCCACTTTTATGGCGTCTGCCACATGTTTTTTGGCAGGCTTTAAGCTTCCAAATTTGTTTCCGCCTAAAATGGCTGAGACAAGTCTTATCTCTTGAAAAGCAGCCATGCAAAATGAAGGTGCATAACAAAGATCTGTCGCACTTTGAGCCATCAATTCACTTTAAAAAATAATCACCAGCGTGTATCCAGTCAGTATTTTGGCATCTACAGTGTGGAGGCAGATGCCTCCTCAAGGACCCAAAATGCTTACCCGCTCGCGGAATTTCGTCTCCCCAGAAAAGACGATGTTGCAATGTTGAAATGAGCGAATGGTCTTGGGAAGCTGGATAGTCTTATTTTGCAGAAGGACATAGATAAGACGAGTATACAAAATTGTGCACCAGTGGGAAACAGCCCTAGATGCATATCTAGCAGAGCAGCCATGACATTTGAATAAAGAGCGAGAACAACCTTTGTCCTCAATCGCTCCTCCCTTGGTCATCGGGCTTGCTTTGCAGAAAAAGTTCCTGAAGTAATCCCTGAGCTTGACCTCCCCTCCACACTTTTGAAATGTTCTTATGTCTATGGAAGTAAGTCAGTTATAATGATACAATATCGATAAGCTCTAAATCAATCAATGCAAATTATCGGCAAAGTGCTGACCCTTCAGTTTTGTTGAGACTTTGCCAGGATGTGCTCAGCCCACAGCAAGGCTCCGAATTGGAAGACGTCTGCGTTGAGAGACAGGTGTGTAAAAATCGTTCTAGGTGGTTAGCAGCTTACACCATCCGCGTGGCGGTACCAATTTTCGAGGACCTCGTCCGTATTGAAGGCAAAGTCCAAAGTGAGTCGTGTTTCTTGCAATGGACATATTAATGGCGACAAACAGTCATATGAACTTTGCCGCAACTCTGGCGACAGTTTTGACGACAGCTTTTTACACACTCGCGCCATTTTCTGAAATGTCATGTCGCCTGTTTGGATCGCCCGGCCAAAACCAATGGGCCCAGAAATCACTTCGCAATGCATGCTACACGCTACCGTCGATAGCACCCAAAAGAAACTTGTCATGATAGCATACCATCGCTTGCGCGCGTGCATCGTGTCACAAATTCACTCCTCAGTTTCTCACTGTTTGGTTTGAGCACGGATTAGCATGCAAGAGACGATAGACCCGCTTGGCTAGACGTCTGTTGGGATTGTGGGAAAGGTCGACGATGTAGTTAGGCACTTCTTCAGTCAATCAATTTATTGTTTCATTTCATCGCTCCCTGAGCTAGAAAGGATGGAGATACAAATCCTCTTCTACACATGGTGAGGGAGGATTTGTATATATGTAACGGGACACCATGCATCGATTGGGACAGTTTTCATTAAAATGTGACCCAACCACTTACGTGATGTACAAAAAATTGAGCGCCTGCGGCCACGTCGGTAAAAACGCCAACTTTGGTCTGGGTACCATGGTGTTAATCACTTACAGCTGAATACAATACAGCAGTGGCCGCTGGCTGCTCGTCCTTCCCGACTCATAGTCGTGTGCTGGAAACGAGCTACAGAACAGACTAGGGAGGCTATCCTGAACATTAAAAACAGAAACACCATTAACTGATGGGACAGCATTAATACAAATCGGAGTAAAACGCTAACATAGCGCACTCAGGAACCTTGCTGCTGGTCATTCAGCCAAGCCGCTGAGACGCCAAACTTTAGAGCGGCACAGAGCGACCGCAGTAAATGATTAAAAACATGCAAAGATAATAGATAAGAGAGAAACAATAGCCTTTTTCTTCGCGGAAAAAATACAGGAGAATGCACGGATAGATACGTTGATATTACGGCAACATGCCTTTATCGAAACGAATAGCAACAGTATCAAGACAAGTCTGCAAGTAGTGATATAAGGTATCAGTATTACTACTGATATTCGTTTCGATAAAGGCATGTTGTCGAAATATCAACGCATCTATCTCTCCATTCTCCTCATTTTTCTACGAAGGATAAGGCTATTACTAGTGTCTATCTATATGCATAATGTTCCTCGCAAATGCACTTAACATCTTACTTATTATATATCATGAGCGCTCTTCAGATGACAAAGCTGAGATTTAACGTTCCGGGAGGTACTCGTTAAAAGACGATATCATTAAACATTGGTTATGTTGGCAAAAGGTGGCACTTCAAATTTTGCCCATGGCCGCAAGGTCTACTCGTGACCTTGAGCGTCGAAGTCGGTCGACGCTCACGCATGTCGAATTCGAAGTAAGGCCAGATCTTTTTTTCTGAGTGGCAGTCACTTTCTAACCAGCAATTTAAAAACCGTAAAAAACTAAAAATCGTTGCTGGCTTCATGCAAGGTCTCTACGCACCATTCACAACTGGCCTTGTACTCTAGTTATCTATTCAATCCGCCAATCTCGACCACTTAGTCTATTGATAATGCCTTAGAAAGGAAATGTTTTTGGTTCTCGGCAGTTTCGCTTCCCACATTCATTTCCTCGCTTTCTATCACCCTGTAAAACGCTGAGGCCTTGACTGTCATGTTTTTCTCATTTGCTTGGATTATTTCAGTTCCAATATGTCTTGCATCATGTTGAACTGCCTGTACGGTGTCATCAGTTTCCTTTTCCGTCTTGTGTTTTGCACTGTCCTCGTTTGCGCATCACGTAAGCGGTAGCGCAACATGCTCGTGTGCAAGCATTGATGGGCAAAACCTGAAAGCTGACTTTGTAGCCGCAGCTCTATTGCCCTTTTTCCTTGCCAAATGACGGCGAGAAAAAAAAAACGTATGGATATTTCGGCTTGCAAGCCTTGACCAACACGGTTTATGAACAGTAAATTGAGCAATAGATAGCCATCAACTGTCGTTAACTTTTTTAACAATCTACGGACTAGTTAAAACTCAATAAGCCTACCCAGTTAACGAATCAGCTTTAACAGAAAATGAATTTTGTAAGTTGTTAAGTGCTACTGGAAGGTACATTACACACACCTAGAGCAGCACAATGGTTATTAATCCTCCTTGCACCACTAGCAAATTCGCCGAAAGCGCCGATCCAGGATTTCGTCAGGGTGGTAGGCACAGAAGCTGTGGTGCTCCTGAGTTGTGGTGCCCCTCAGAAATGGAGATATTTAACACCTCGGAAATGCTTTCGTTTGAATTTGATGCCTCTTGGAAATGAACGTTGTGGTGCCTCGAATTGAAGGTTTTGTTGCCCCCCCCCCCCTCCCCCCCGTAGAATGGGCCGATCCAGGATTGCGTCAGGACGAAAGGTACATAAATTTTAGTCTTGAATTTTGGTCTTCCCTTTAAGAATTTATGGTCCTTCAAATGACCCGTTTGAGTTTAGTGCCGCTGGAAAAAATATGGTGATGGTTTGGTGTTCTGAAATGAAGGTTTTGGTATTTTGCTTGGCGAAGCGCCTTTCTAGGACTTCATCTGCGTGGGAGGTATAACAATGTCATGCCTCCTGGAATATGGTGCCGCCTTGAGAATGAAGTTTTCGCAACCGTTTGAGGTGCTTCTTGAATTGGGGGCTTCCTTGAAATAAAGGTTAGTGCACCATGAAGTCAAGGCTTTGGCTTTTCTTTGCTAAATGGGCCAATTAATAATGTAGTGATGTGAATTAATAATTGTAGTGAATTAATAATGTAGTGATAGATCACGGCACGGACATTGCAGTGCGTGGAATTTGGCACCTGTTAAGAGTGAAGGTTCGCTGTTTCTTCGCCATATAGTTTTGGTGCTTCGGAGGGGAACCAAACGTCGTGGCTGGGCCAGGAGGAGGGAATCATGCGCCCCCCCCCCCCCCACCGGATCCGCCCCCTCTGCAACTGGCTCATATCGCTGTCCGTACTCGTTTCGCTTGGAGTGCTCTCATCCCGAATATTGCTTTGTCTCAAGAGATTGCCCCTTAAAAGGTTGTGATTTAGCGCACCAGCATCAATACAGCTACCAGCAGAAGATGCCTTATAGTCACAGCTAATGACAAATCACATCCTGTTACTGGGTTTTAGAAGCCACAAATTTAAACAGAAGAAAAACGAACGCACGCCATCACGAAATGGCTGGTCACTTATGCTACAATTACGGGAATCAGAATCCGTCACCTGAACTTTTGATGGCAATACTAAAAGTAAAATATCAGGTATTTGCAGGCTCAAAGCTGAAAAAGGCTAAAGAGGTCTCAAGTTTCCATGTTAGTTAATTTTTTCAACTTTAACTAAAGCGATGATTTGTGAAGGACAAAGCTAACAAGGCCATGGTCCGTCCGGAAATATTCAGCTTTCAGTTAAAATTGAACGGTTTCCAATGTTAGTTAATTTTTTCAACTTTAACTAAAGCGATGATTTGTGAAGGACAAAGCTAACAAGGCCATGGTCGTCCGGAAATATTCAGCTTTCAGTTAAATTGAACGGTGACACAAGTTATGTAACATAGTGACAGAATTATGTCACTAATATGTGTGCTCTGCAGATCGTAACAACAAATACCTCGACGTCAAACTCGCAGTCTCAATGGGCCACACAGCGACGGCCCCATGGCTAACACTAAGCCGTGGCCAACGGTGAACGCGAGAGATGACGCATCTGAAAGAAGTATGTCTGCATGTTTAAGGACACCAAATCGTACATTTAGAAAGGAGTCAGGGCGTGTATTTTCACCGGTGCCATTTTAGATTAATAAGTGCTGGAACCTGGTGGTGGAACTGGGAGGGTAGAGGTAGATGATGCCTATTTATAGACTCTATAGACTCTATTTATAGGCTCATTAATAGACCCTATTTTTCGTGTTGCTGTAACTGTTAATCTGTCCAGAGGACAACCTCAAAGTTGTATCAAAAATGCAGCCAGCCTCATCTTTAAAGGTGCCAAAATAATTTTAAACACTTTGAGGACTATCATTTTACAACGGTCGGTTATCGTGTGCACAGCGCCCCGCCGCCTGGTGTTACTTGCACCGGCGAACGCCATTCGGTTTTACGGAAACTGTAATTCAGGCCATCGCTGGCCCCTGCTCCCGCGATTGCTGGCAACCATGCTCGAACCTTGTCATGTAATTCGTTTCAGTTGTCAATGGCTGAAAAGTCTCATTTTTTTCTATGTTAATTATGTGACAGAAGTTCTTATTTTTCCTTTCGTTGACAGAGGGTCCTGACCAACGCGACCTTTGAGTCTCTGTCCTTGAGACTCCGTCCCCGTCCCTGTTGAGCAAATCTTCCCCGAACTGACCGAGGCCCCTCGTTGACACAGAATACCCTGTTAGGGCACTGTGGGCTTCTGAACGATACAAGAGCCCCCGCATTGCCACAGGGACCCCGGACAACGCAAATTGCGGGCCCAGCCATGTCCCTGCGTGGGAAATGGGCCTCCAGAGCTCAGACCGACACAGAGCCGATTGACCGGTGTTGCTGATCTTTGGCCGAAACAGAGAAGCGCTCTGTTTCAGGGGCTCCCGATCGGTGTCAGAGGCCTTCTAACTGGCATTTGAGATTAGGGCCCCATGGGCGGGCATCCTGAATGTGACCTACAGTCAGCCGTTTGGGCCCTTCAGCCTTCCAATAGAGCACTTGATCTTTGGTCTCAAGAGACCCTTCAGCCTCTCTTTGGGCCCTCAAACACCGCCTCTGGCCAACTCGGGGCCACTTGCCGCCACAAGACCCCCGTTAGGCACTGTGTCCCCTGAACGACACATGAGCGGACACATTGCGCCAGGAATCCCGAATATTACAAATTGCGGACCCGACCTCGTTCGTACTTGGGAAATTGGCCTCAAGAACCCTGGCGGGCATGGAGTCGACTGTTTGGCTCCGTACCGAGGCCCTATACAACAGGGAATAAAGCACCTAGTAGGAGGGCCTTAATAGAAGCCCTCTGACTGACATTTCAGGTCACGACGCTGCGGTAAGGGCCGGGCCCAAGTCCAATCGGGCTCTGGATCTCTGGTCCCGATGTGCCCTCCGTCCCCTTTTCGGACCTCCGCAAACAAAGCTTATGACCGACTCGGGGCCACTAGCCGACACATGACACCCTGTTAGGCGCTGGGGCCCCTGATCAACGCAGGGCACTGACCACTGTTTTAGGGGCCCAGACCAACGCACATCGTGGCTCCCGGCCTCGCTCCTGCTTGGAAATGCCCCCCCCCCCCCCCCCCCCCCAGGGTTCAGACTGACAGGAAGCCAACTGTTAGGTGTTCGTGGTCTCTGGCCGACTCAGACGCCAGCTTTGTCCCAGGGGCTGTTCACGTTTCTGTGACCTTAACACCAGTCCTTCAGACTCTTATGCCCTCCAAACGGACCTCTGATGGTCAGTTCCGTTGGGCCACCCGGGCCTCTCTTCGGGCCTCATCTAGCACTGCTTTTGGTCGGCTCTGGACCCCTTGCGAGCACAGAACCCTCTGTCAGACGCCGTGGGTCCCTGACACATACGGGAGTCCGACTTCTGTGAAATCACTGGCCCCGGCTTTGTAGTAATGAGAAAGTGGGCTCTTAGATCCATACCCACACGGAGCCGGCTGTGCGGTACCGGTGGTTCCTGACGGACACGTAGGCCCATGTCGACGGTCATATAGGTGCTGATCAGCGCAAAGGGCCCTCTGACTGTCATTTGAGGGCCCGTCTCCACAGACTGGGTCCCTGAATAAGACTCTGACCAGCTCTTCGCTTCCTTAGACCCTCTAGTCTGACCCTTGATTGTTGGACCCGTTGGGCCCTCCAGGCTCTTTGGGCCTCCTCGAACACTGCCTCTGGCCGACTCGGGGACCCTTGCCAACACAGGGCCTCAGGCTAATGTAACGACAGCTGATGGTTGTGGGCCCCCGACCAATGTAAATCGCTCTCCCTCGCTTTGTCCGTGCTTGTGAAAGGGCTCTCAGGCCCATGCCGTCACGTAGCAGACGTGCGTTACTGGTGGTGGTACCCGCCAACAAGCGTGACCAGCTCCCTCGTGGCAAACGTTGTGCATGGTGTTCGCTTAACAGGCTCGTACGAGAAGTGCTTTGACAGTGCCTGTCTGATCAACATGGTTTTCGACCACTAGGATGTCGTCGTACAGGGCACCGCACTTAGCACCGCGACGACATGACTCTTAGCTTTAGTAACTCGAGCATGAAAACTTCGAGCTACAAAAGCTACTGAGACGGAGCAGTCGAGCCGCGGTGACCTACGGGGTGGGAAGCCATGTGACCGCGCTGCAGTGCTTCTCTCATGTTCTCCGTTGAAGTCTTCGCGGCGGACGGCGCGGAAGATTTC